CCCCCAAAAAAAAGAAATATTCATTAATGATTTTTCTCAAATGTTTTGCAGGAGCAATCTTGGTCAAAACAACATCCAATTGCTGCTATTGGCGAGGACAACCAAACAAGGAATGAGTCTTTCCCAGATTGCATAGAAATACCAACTGATGGAACAGATGTCTGGGAGATTGATACGAGGCAGCTGAAATTCGAGAACAAAGTTGGATCTGGGTCATTCGGTGATCTGTAAGTTATATTTTGAATTCTGTGTTGGATTGCATGCAGGTGCTTCTTTGACTTTCTATTTCCAACTTCTTTCAGGTACAGAGGCTCATATTGTAGTCAGGAGGTTGCCATAAAAGTTCTCAAACCGGAGCGCGTCAATGCAGAGATGCTGAGAGATTTTTCACAGGAAGTTTATATACTGAGGTTTATCTAAATACCTGCGTATGCTTGTTAGTGGCAGTTGTCATTTTTTATACATCTTTTTTAAACTCCTTGATATCATGATTTTGGCAGGAAGATTCGGCACAAGAATGTTGTGCAATTTATAGGTGCATGTACAAAGCCTCCAAACCTATGCATTGTGACAGGTATGTATAAGAGAATCCTTTATATTATCGATCCTCATGTGCTCAAGTTTCTCATTATATGAGAAGTCATGATTGTTACTGATGTCTGCCGTACTTTCATCTTTGCTACATCATGTCTAACTAGTTACAACTAGAAGAAAATAAGCCTGTGGTGTTGTGATAGAAGTGATTGGTAACATCTATGAATTTTCATTTTATGAAATATGTGGTGCATTTTGAATTTGTTATTTGTAGGTTACTTGGCCTCCTTTTCCAATTCACTGACAAACACCTTTTGATGCTTATGTTTCTGCTTATCAGAATTTATGTCCAGAGGAAGTGTGTACGACTTTCTGCATAAACATAGGGGTGTGTTTAAGCTTCCCTCTCTGCTCAAAGTAGCAATTGATGTTTCCAAGGGAATGAACTATTTGCACCAAAATAATATAATCCACAGGGATCTTAAGACGGCCAATCTTCTGATGGATGAACACGAAGTAAGTGGATTCCCCGACTCTTGAGTGAATGATTCATTGTGTGTCAAATATGTTTTTCCTTTGCATTTATAGAGATTTAAATTCAAAAAGAACTTTCCTGTGTCAATTAACTATTCTTTCATAAGCATGTTTTCTTTGATTTGTAATGATTAAAGTCGTAGATCCTTCTTGTACAGGTCGTTAAGGTTGCTGATTTTGGCGTTGCCAGAGTGCAGACTCAGTCTGGAGTGATGACAGCTGAAACTGGAACATACCGCTGGATGGCTCCAGAGGTAGGCATCGTCTTGGCTATCAACTTTTATTTTGTGGAATAATATTGCAAAGAGAATAATTTCCAAGTGTTTGCAGTCAAAATTGCTTGATAGTGATACGATTAATAGTTTAGTAATTCATGGGGTTCATACTCAAATCAACTAAGCTTTTATCCACAAGGGTATTTACAGCTATCATGGGGTTTAACAATGACTAGGTTGGTTGATTGGACTTTAATTCATTTTTTCTTGAATGAAGGTCATTGAACACAAACCATATGATCACAAGGCAGATGTTTTCAGTTTTGGAATAGTACTGTGGGAGCTTCTAACAGGACAAGTAAGTGCTATTTTTCTTTGCAAGAATAAGTTTTTTTTTTCCCGCTAATTACTTCAGCAATCCATGAGTTCATAATGGCATTAATTTCAAAACTCATGGTCATCTTTATGATGTATTTACCAGCTCCCTTACTCATCGTTGACCCCATTACAAGCAGCAGTAGGTGTGGTGCAAAAGGTATACTTACCCTCCCAATTTGGCATAATGTAATGTGCACAATATTATTATCGAATCACTCTAATTGGCATGGCTGTCCTGTCAGGCCTTACGACCTACAATTCCCAAGACCACTCACCCAAGGTTTGCCGAACTGCTTGAGAGATGCTGGCAGCAAGACCCAACTCAAAGACCCCACTTCTCCGATATTGTAGAAATCCTGCAGAATTTGGCCAAGGAGGTACTTTCTTACCCAACGGTAAACCTTCTGGCCCATAAAACATATTTAAATCCTTTAATCTTGAAACAGGTCGGAACTGAGGGAGAAGATCGACGTAAGGATAAATCAGGTGGTTTTTTCTCGGGACTGAGATGGGGCCATCACTGAGCACAGAAGATAAGAGAAATCTGATTTTGTATGTGGACCATTTTCATTGCACAAACCTTCTGCATTGTACAGACTTTGCCAAGCAATCACACAGTTTTTATTGAAGTTCTTGTTTTTTCTGGTGGTCTTCTCTTTATAGACTCAGTTTTTCTTCGTCTAAATTAGGCCCACCAGTTAGCGGTAAAGCCGTCGTAGAAAGATAATGTAAACTACCTTGTGGTATTAAAATTTTTGTTTTAAAAAGAAACCGCACCTTATGTAGGAGAAGAATTTTGCTGAATCTTAAACTTAAAAGTACACAGCCTTTTATCAGGAAATTCTTTGACTTCACAGATCTTTGTATTTAAAGTCTTAATGTCGGACATTCATTAGACATGTTTATCAAACACGGTTAAGCTGCGACGGATCTGCCATTGCTAGACTCGCTGAGAAGCTGCCGTGCACGGACCTTGACCTGCAACCGGACAAGCGCATGCATGCAATGGAGAGCCATACGTGCTTGTTTCCGCACACACACCCCACGAACCAAGGCTTGCAGCTTCACCAGGCTCCTCAGTGCTCGAAATGCTTGCCTGGCCTGTCAAATTGTTTAAATCATCACAAACCTACAAATTCAACAATTATCATCCATCAAACAAATCTGGCCATATGAAAAATAACCAGTGGGTTTACGTACAAGATGCCCCCTGAAAAACGCTTGGAGCTTGATGGCTGCAATATCTTCGTGGGATAAAAATTTCTTTGTGGATGATGGAGATGATGAAGCAGAGCCGTTGAGATCTTGGTACCTGGCTGATTCTTCATGAGTGCTTGGGCTGGTGTTGGTGTAGACGACAATGATGTCTCTGTTAGATGATCTGCCTAGCTTTCTTCGAATTGTTTTGAACCATTTCCGGTAACTTCCCATTCTTGTATACTTGTTGTCGTATGACATTTAAAAAGAATGCGAGTTGAGTTGGGGCATGCATTCTCCATTTTAAAGCAAATTGAAAACGGTGACGTAAAGGGAGGAGATGTGGACACCATGTTCATGTTTTCCCTTCATTTCCCGAGAGAGAGAGAGAGAGAGAGAGAGAGAGAGAGAACGTGGAGGGATGAATATATCTCTCTACCCACCAGCTGTGTGTGTGAGTTTGAAGCATTCTACAGTGAAAGTCTCAAACTCAGAGAGTTGTCAGAACAACAACGTGCACTTTTCACTTGCGCAACGACATGTCGTATTTCTCAAATGGTATTATCAGTAGTATATCAATCAACAATTTTTGGTTGTGAACTCTCATAAGCATAAAGCAAGCATATAAGATAGGATTTTCAACTCTGGTAAAAGTGGAGCACTTCTCTAACTTGTTTACAAAGTTTGCTGGGTGATTGATTTATTTACCAACTTTTCTTTTTGTTTCATACACATTACATATGACCTTTTCTTTGACCCTCTCTCTCTCTCTCTCTCTCTCTCTCTCTCTCTCTGTGGCAGGACACAATCAAGTTTCATTTCTCTGTTGGAAGTCCAGTCTGTGTCCAAGCAGCATATCCACCAGCTATGTCTGTAATGCCAGTGAAACCCTGCAAAAAATGGAAAGCCATTGAGAAAACTCAACCAATTTCAAGTTCTTTGAACCCAACACCAGTTCCATTAATAAAAAACATTGCATCCTTTTCTACCCAATATTATTTTATGTGGATTTTCATAAAATATACCATTATATTAATGATCATAGTTAGCTATATAACATGTCAAAAAGACACATTCTGTCTCTGGCTGAAGTCTTTTTTCTGAATTTTTATATGCAACACAACCTATTTGATAACGACGTTCAACCAAAATTGTGTGCTTACAGCAGCTAGGAGATCTGTTGCAGCCATCATGGACCTTTTCCCAAGCTGGCATCCCTGTCGAGCCAAGAGGTTAAAAACTTATATGGGGGCTAAAATTCAATAAAAAAGACAGTGAAAATAACTGGAACTCACAACAATAATCTCATCATGTTTTCTGAAATGTGATGCCACTTCTTTTAGAAATTCAGGGTTCTTTGACATCCCTGCATACAACAACACAATTACAAATGAATACAATCATTTAATTTTAGAAAAAAAATAATCAAGAAGAAGGTGTGAAGAACAAAAAGTGAACCTGATCCAAGTTTGTACAAGTAAGGGATGTTAACAGCCCCAGGGGCATGCCCTCTACTGAACTCATCAGGGGTCCTGCACAAACACAAACAATTAACCCAAAAACAAAAACAATCAAACAAAGAAATCAAGATTAATTAACAGAGTGATAAACTTAATAGAGAAATTAAAATAAAAAACAAAGAGAGTACCTGACATCCAAATATTTGTGTCCAGCTTGAAGAAGCTCATGCGCCACACGAACTGGCACTGAAGTTGGAACACCAACAGCTTCCAAATTCCCTTTCTGGGCAGCTCTCGGACTTTCCCAGTTGCCAAACAACATCACAGTTGGTGTCAAACACAATATTTTTTAACTTATAAAAAAAGCAGAATTCTATTTTAAGTTTTGTTTTTTTTTGTTTTTGGTTGGTGGGTTTCTTTGTGCTTGCTACTTACCAGAAGCTGCAGTTCTTGTTTTGAATTCCAGTGCCATGTCTCTGCAGATTCACATTGAGTGACAAAAGAGACCTCTGATTGAGATTTTGAGGAGAAAAAAGTGAAGGGGGTTGAAGTGCAGAGCCAGTAAGGCAGGAGGAGGAAGACACAAGAGAAATTGCCACCATTTTTAATATTGTTGGATTGTTTTGAAGATAGCAAATTGATTATGTTTTGGTTTTGGTATCTGGGATTTGCAGATTGCAATGTGCGAGTGAATGTTTTAGCACTTAGCAGTGAAATATGGAATATGGTTAAGGAGGTTGTGTGAGGAGGTTGTGTCATTATTTATTTAATGGGTGTGTCAGCAGAGGGCAGAGATGATGACAAGATGAGAGAGAGAGAGAGAGAGAATAGGGGCTTGGATGCCACGCCAAGTCTTGCTGTTTCTGATTTCAGATAAACCCAACAGGAGGCACACATACTTTTGCATGGATAAGTTTCAATCTTTCGACCTTGAGTTAAAGAAAGAGGCAATGGATGTACACCTGGGTGGCTGAGAGTGCAGACAAGATTCTTTCGGTTTTGGAATTTGATATTATATATCCCATCCAATAAAAATCTCAATTTTTTTTTGTTCTCTCAGAAACAATCACATAAATGATCTTTTTATTTTATTTTGGTAAAAACTCTTATATGTGATGTGATACATCAACTATTTGGACGAATTGTGTATTTTTTTTTCTTTTTTCTAAAAAAAACTATTTGGTCAAAAATCTTTTTTTTATATACTTAATTCTAAAATTATTCCAATATTAGAAATGAAAATACCATATATTCAGAGCTAGATAATAGAAAAATAAGCTATAAGGGGCTTGTAACTTAAGTGGTTAAGAGTATTTATCCTTACATCCGAAATCTTGGGTTCAAAACCCCCCTCCCTAATATCATTTGTATAAATAAATAAATAAAAGTTAATGTAACATGACGTAAGTCTGTGTTCTAGTTCCTCGTTGATCTGAGTAAGTTTTGTATGTGACGGTGATCCCATGTTAGGGCCCTCCTCACGAGGTATAAAAACTTTCATGGGATGATTAGCAAGCAATTGTTTTGGGCTCTCCTCCAAAAAAGATCAGTAAGTAATTTGGGTTGGGCTATAAGCAAAGCTTCATAGACATAAGGCCCAAGATTGAGGTCACAGGAGCTTAGTTCGGCCCATCCAGCCCAGATTAATCCCCGCGAGTCTCAGTTGATTTTCAGGTGGAATGTGAGAGTGGAATGGCTACCTTGGCGTTCGCGAGCCTAACAACTCCTCCATTCTCGTCGGCGCGAAGGTCTCTGTCCATCCATGGCAGATTCACTTTCCTCCATAAAACTCTGGGTTGGGGTCGGAGATCTCTGCTGCTTCCCATAACATGTTCTTCTTCCGAATCCGAGCCGAACCAAAACGCCGACTCCGATGCCAAAACGGCGTCGTTGGCGCCGTCGTCTTCGAGTAGCTTGACCGACAAACTATATGTAGGGCTCGGGGGCGTTGGGTTTCTAGAAACGACGTACTTGACGTATCTCAAGCTAACGAATTCTGATGCCTTTTGCCCAATCGGCGGTGGCACCTGCAGCGACATCCTCAGCAGCGATTACGCCGTCGTTTTTGGTATTCTCTTCAACTCCATACCCAACTGAATTCAAATATACAATGACCCAAAACAAGAAAAATTTAAACTTTCGACTGGCCTTTTGTGAATTGGAAATGAATTACATTGATTGTATGCAATGTGTTTAAAAGAAGGTTCCTTTTGGTTTTCCCAGGTGTTCCTCTTCCATTGTTTGGTATGGTTGCATATGGGTTAGTTGCTACTCTTGGTGTGCAGCTATTGACTGCAAAGAAGTTGCCTTTTGGGATAGGTGAATCTAATGCTCGCCTGGTTTTACTTGGGACTACAACTTCCATGGCAGCTGCTAGCGCTTGTTTTTTGTACATTCTTAGCACTAAATTTTCAGGAGCTTCTTGCTCGTATTGTTTGTTATCAGCTTTGCTCTCTTTCACCTTATTTTTCATCACTTTAAAGGTTAGCTAGCTTTTTTCTGTTTTTCATTTTCATTTTCTTTGATTTGATGTTATTGGCAATGACTAGAATTTTGGTGGGTTTATTATACTGTAGGATTTAGGGTTGGAAAAAGTACAGAAAGAGGTGGGCTTGCTGCTATGTATAGCTAGCTTGGTGTTTGTGACTCTCAACAGGTCATATAGTGCTTATCCGCCTGTCTCCTCAAGGTGATTAGCCTCGCTCATGCTATTTTGTTTTTCATTTTCATGAATATGTTAGTTTGGGAAGCTATTTGGTGATATGAACCCATATTTTGCTCTGAAGCTCAATCTTTTAGGATTATGGGCAATGCCCTTCCAACTAACTTGACACAGGAGGAAATAAAAATTTAAACTTTATAAAGAGTGGCATTATGATTAGTAGGAAATATAGGAGATTGATAAACATAAGTGATTAAGGACTTTAATTAGTTCGTATAAAAAAAATTCTTGTAAAGGACGTTCTACATCACTTTCGGAACTTTTTGAGTAAGCAATTGATTGTGAACTGCCAGTTCGATGGTTATTTATATGAGTTGGATTGTTGTTTTACTATGTAGTCTATTTAGTTGAGACTAAAGGTGTTGGCTACTTGACTATTATGTAGATGAAATTAAGATCAGTATTGTGTGTTTATTGACCTCATCAAACCTTTCCCATGGTTTGGTTGGATCTAAATTCACCAAGTTACTTATTTGAATGATCACAAATATCATCTTGGTAGATTATGTTAGCCGGTTATTTTCTTTGTCGGTTTTCTGTGTTCATTGCGCTCATATTTTTTTTCTTATTACTTATGTTGTTAACAGCCCGTCAGAAATTGATCTTCCATATTTTACAACTGAGATAACAACACCGTCAAGTCCTTTTGCTATAGCTCTTGCAAAGCATCTGAATGCTATAGGTGCTAAAATGTATGGGGCTTTCTGGTGTTCGCATTGTGTAGAACAAAAACAGGTACTTTTCCCTTTTTAGTTCCTAATTAAATGTGATTCAATCATGAAGTTTCTCTCTTCATCATCTCTAAAAGGTTTTCCCTAGTTTCTTCCAATGTGTAATGTTCAGGAAGGCATTATCCGTAAGTTTTGATGTATCCTATTGTTTGTTTTGTCCATCATGTAGATGTTTGGGCGTGAGGCAGCAAAGCTGTTGAACTATGTTGAGTGCTTCCCTGGTGGATTTAGGAAGGGAACTATAATGGCAAAGGCATGTATTGATGTTGGAATTGAAGGTTTTCCTACATGGGTGATAAACGGGCAGGTGATCAATCCCATCATAGATTATTCAATATTTTCAATATATATTCTCATGCAAAACCTAGCAATAGGAACCTGTTGCTGTAAACTTGTTTAAGATAGATATACTTTGTTCTCATAAAGCTTGGCGCTTCTTACAGGTTTTGAGTGGAGAAAAAGATTTTACAGAGCTCGCACAAATCCCATCATAGATTATTCAATATTTTCAATATATATTCTCATGCAAAACCTAGCAATAGGAACCTGTTGCTGTAAAAACTTGTTTAAGATAGATATACTTTGTTCTCATAAAGCTTGGCGCTTCTTACAGGTTTTGAGTGGAGAAAAAGATTTTACAGAGCTCGCACAGGAATCTGGGTTTGAGTTGAATGAATCCAGTCCTCCCCCATAGATTAAGACATCGTGTTTATTATGCCATTACACGTAAAGATCATAGAAAACTTGTTGTATCATTACATAGCCGATCGTTGATCGCGACGACTGGGCACCTCGGGGTATTCATTATCTTGTACAACTCTTGCCTGTAACTGTAAGCATTTATTACATTTCACTGGAATGAAGAAGCTAGTTAGATGTGTAGATTGGAAACTTATTATTGATTTACATGATTTAAGAGAGTCCTTTGTAATATGTTTACACGCCAAATTTGTTGTCTGTAATGACTTCTTTGTAAGCAAGCATGGGTCATAAGTCCCCTTTAAGATGAACAATAAAGTCGCAATCGAAGACAATCTTGAGCATTCAAACAGAACTGGACAAAGGGATTGGGTGTGGACTCTGCAAAAGTCTTTAGCTAACTTTAACTTATATTATCATCAACCAATATAAATTGAATAGAATAATTCCTATAGGATGAGATGATGAGATCATGCTCACTGTGGAAGTTAGCTGCCATAAGATTATTGTTGAGTTTTCTTTAAATTATTATTTGTCTACGTGGAGCTTATATAGGCATAAAAAAGCTGCATTGTTTACTACGTAAGCCTTTAACCTATTTACTAACAGTCTGATTAATGGATAGGATAATTTGTGGAATTGAGTTCCTTTTCTTTTTTATTTGGTCAACGAATTTGTTTGAAATTGCGTATACGTTTTCTATTTTTTAACACGAGCCATGTCTAAACTATAATGGGAGAGATAGTGGCGGAACTAGAATTGTAAGATTGGGGGGTGTCTAATTTAATTTAAAGAGGTAATTAACTTAAATTATAAGTTGTCGATTATTAAGTGTATAGTAGAGGAGGGATGTCAAAAAAATTAGGGAGGCCAAGGCCCTTCTTAGTTTAGGAGTGGCTTCACCCATGATAGGAGGTTTCTTACATACACATTACTAAGGTGTTATGATAGGAGGTTTCTTACATACACATTACTAAGGTGTTATGGAGTTCGATCCTTTAACATGAGACAACTAAGTTGCAAATGAAAGACTTTTTTCAATAAGCTAGAACCGGTTGGTAAAATATGGGCTTTTATATCATCTTTCTTTGTTAGGCTTCATTTACTTGAACTGCCAGCCCACTCTATTCTCTATCCACAAATCATTCATGCCACCACCAGCAGTCAGCAGTCAGCAGTCAGCAATCCAAACCGCTGTCCGACGCGGACACACCGGCCCCACTTGGCCCGCTCAAAAGTGAAGATACCTTGGAATATTCCCTCGCCCCTTGAATTCCTGATCCAGTCACCAAAATAATTACGCTTGTCCTCGCCTCCATTCCTCCTCATCAATCAACCCTCTCTCGCCTCGGACGCCCATAAAATTCCACTCCCCCTTCTTTAAATTCCCTCACTTTCTCTCCATCCAAACAAACCACAACACCAAAAAGAAATGCCTACTCAAATATCCGAATCCGAACAACAGCAACTCATCGAAAAGCTCGACATCTTCAGAATCAAAGGCAGAGACAAGCGCGGGCGCTCTATCCTTCGCGTCATCGCCAAATTCTTCCCAGGTACATATATATATATTCATCTTTTTATTTATTTTATTTTTTCGTCGAAGTTTCGTGATTTTTATTTAATTTTTCATTTTGATGATTTAATTAGCGAGGATTGTGAGCGTGGATGCTCTGCGCAAATATTTGGAGGAGAAAATATTTCCAGAATTAGAGAAGAAGCCGTTCGCGGTGTTGTACGTGCACACCGGAGTTCAAAGGTGCGAGAACTTCCCCGGAATCTCCGCCATCCGATCAATCTACGACGCAATCCCGATCAACGTCAAGCGCAACCTCGAAGCTGTGTATTTCCTCCACCCTGGCCTGCAAGCCCGCCTCTTCTTAGCCACCTTCGGCCGCTTCCTTTTCACCGGAGGGTAATATTTCATTAATTTTTTTGGATAAGCGCATTTTAGTATCTGTTTAGTTTCCTGAGCTAACGTGCGCGATGGCTGCAGGGTGTATGGGAAGCTGAAGTACGTGAGCAGGCTCGATTATCTGTGGGAGCACGTGCGGAGGAGCGAGATTGAGGTGCCTGAGTTCGTGTGCGATCATGATGAGGACTTGGAGGACCGTCCGATGATGGACTACGGATTGGAGAGCGATCATCCGAGGGTGTACGATGCGCCCGCGGTTGATTCGCCTGTGTCCATGTACTCCATGAGATGCATCTCATAGTCAACAATTATTTAGGGTTAGAAGTTACATCGGATGTTTCCATTGGGCCTTCCAGTTAGAGCAGTTAGCCAATGTTTTAGTTGCATCTTTATTCTCTTTGTTACAATTTCTTTAGATAAATACTTTTGTATAAATCCTAAATCCAAAATTTCAGTGTTCATTAATAGAGGACTTATCTTCGGACTTACAATTAATAGAGGACTTATCTTCGGACTTACAATAATTACACGTAATGAAAGAGATAGACATTAAATATTAACCTTCGTAATCACATTCTTTGATCGGGTCCAAGCCCGACCCTAAGGGGAGTCCTGTGAAGCGCCTAAGCCTGATCTCAGGGAGGGCCTCAAAAAAAACCCAAAAAAGGCCTAAAAGGCATCATTGGATCCTTATGTTTTTATGCATGCTTGATTAAATTGGAGTGGTTTTACCCCAACTCCATCGGCACAATTCTAACTGTTTTCTATTGTTCTCCTCAGTGTGTCATTTCTAAGGTTATTGGGCTAGGCAAACTCCTCAAGAAGAAAAGGCCTGCCTTGACAGGTAAAGAAGACTACCTCTTATTAATATGACTTCACTTCTGCTATAAATGAAGTGGAAACCTTCCCTGCCCATCACTGACTGCATATTGCCTTCTATGAACTCATGCCTAATTCAGAGGAAAAAAATAAAATTATAAAACGTATTTAGCGACGATGCGAACACATCAGGTTTAGAGATTATATGTGATATATCATAGGATCAACCATAAGGCAACCAAATTACAACCAGATACCATAATTTTAACTAAGATTTACATAACTCAACTCAGTGCCTATAGGCTAAGTGTGGTTTGTTTTTGTTTTTTTCTTTTAGGCGTAGGCCAAGTTGAGGGTGGCAAAAAGATGTTACAGGAGCCTGGATTATATGGTAATGGCAAGAGACTACCATCTTCTAAGTTGAACGCACAAATCTTAAATTTTCTTCCTAATGAATAATTACTGTAACATTTGGTAAAGCAAGGATCAGAGAAATAAATGCAGCTCCTTTGACATCCAGGAAAATCCCCAGCAGGAACAGAGAAGCAACAGTTATTATCACCCACACACAATATCCTACCATCCAAACCTTCCATCTCAACCCATTTCCTCTCAACTGCATTCAACTTGTAAACCCTGAATTTAACCGGAACGAAACGATGTTGTTTCATTCTGTTCGGGTATCTTTCCACTAGAAGTATCTCCCCCAATGACTCCACTAAATTCTTGATGCAATGGACGCCGCTGTCATGATCAGGACTTCTCGGAGATGCAATCAGTGTCATCTCCAAGGAAGGATCAACCACCACAGCTGTGCTATTGTGGCAAACAGCATAGAACTTTCCCTCAAAACAAATAACATCTTCAAAAAACTCAGAGGTTATATCCTTGACCATGGTGCACATTTCAATGTCAGGGCCTAATTTGCCGTGGTATAATTTTCCAGCCGCAACCACCATGATTGCAGGCCAATCAGGGCTCAGTGATATGGCCACTCTGTGGCTACTAACACTTTGGTCAAAGTGGTACATGGTGTAAGTTTTTGCCAATTCAAATACTTGAAATTCTAACAAGTTTAGTAGCTTTGGAAACACTGACTTGGGCAAACGCTTTATGTGGAAGGATGAGGAGAGTGGATGTAACATGCTAGTTTCACCTGATTCTCCTTCCCTGAGCCTAACCACCCAACCCCTTGTACTCGAAGTCGAAGCAGAAGCATCTGAGTTTATGTTGGGAGGAGGTACTAGATGGTAGACTATGCTCTCGGTGATGGTCAAGAAAAAGCAGTTAACAGGAAAATGTAACTTCATCATAATTCTGATGGGAAAACGGGGTTGTTTCTGATCAAAGGGAGGAACAGATGATCGCCATGACCTACAGATGGCACGAAATCGTGAGATATCGGTTTTAGTTTTGAGGCGCTTTCCTATGGCCTCTAATAATTCGGTTGGAAGATTGTTCCAGGGGACGACTCTATCAGCCATTTACACGGCTTTGAGAAGTTGTTGCTCCATAATCGGACGAAGGCATTAAGATGTGTTTCAGAGCACTTGGGTTGTGTCGATCCTCGCCTTAGAAAGCAATGTGTGGCCGGCCTAATCTGATATAAACAAGAAGGAAACATCGGTTTCTTCTTGTATTTATAAAGTATTCAAGAGGACTTGCTTTTATAAAATACTGAGCCAACATATTATCAGAGATTGATTTTTTGAAGGACCTAAGCCAGGTCGAGGGTTGACAAAAGAGTTTGATTAAACAAGGTTCTCTTGAAGATTCTATAAAAACAAAAACAAAAAATGTTCGTCTTTTTAAGATTCTGTCCTACTAGCTCTGCTCCAAACTTTATATACCAAGAACATTGCATTGCATATATAGAGATATATTACTCTGTTCTAATTTTCTCCCTCTCCAGTCTCCAGAAGGAATGGCCAGTGAAAGAGTAGTCCAATGGAACAATCTTCCGAGTGAATTATTAGAGACTCCGGTTAGTACAATAACAAGGAGTTCATGATGAATTTGTGACATCACATATAATATTTAGCGCTCACGTGCTAATTAATTAGTAAGTTAATATGGTATTACTAAACTTAAGTAGAATGATGATAGCAAGTAATCCTTGTTTAATGTAGATGAGCCACACTGTGATCTCATGCGGTATTACTGTAATGCATGTTATGCTCTTTTTGGGTTGGCTCCAAAAAATAAAAAATAAAAACCCTTTGGGCCGTTTAGTTTGTATTTTGGGCTCTGACGGGCCCTTTTGTTTTGGCGAAAGTGGTCCATCAGTCCCCCAAGTTCATAAAACAAAATGAAAAGGGTCTATCAGCTCACCCCACTCTCTCACTCACAGTTTCATCTCTGCAAATCCGTACCCAGCGCAACATCTTCAGGCTGAAAGGTAGAACAATTTTTCAATTTTTTCCAAATTTTTGGGCACAGCGTGTCGTATATACGGTTCTAAAGTTTCAATTTTTTTTTCCTTTTCATGAAGTTTGATGTCGTTTCAGCGCTCCCCGGTTTCAGTTTTCATTGATGCTTTTTGGGTGAATAAATGTCTCAAAACTTGCATTTGAATGATGGGTTTCATCTAATTCTAGCTTTAACTAGCAACCGTTTGCATAGGACTTTGGCTTACCTTGTAGTTGTTCTTTCAGAGAATATTGGCTCTTTTTGAATGATGGGTTTATCTATTTATTTTGGAGAAATCGCATGCCTTGTTTGTATATAAATTATATTGATAATTAGTTTGCATTTTCTTAAATCTGAGAGGTTTGCTCAAACTGCACCAGCCAAATTAAATTTTTTTTTTTTTTTGTTCAATATATGCCATTTTTGTTGTTGAGGTTATTGATGTTTATGGCAGGCATGGTTTTCTTGAGCTGGGTTAGGCCAAGTCCTGAAGAACAGAAGGCTTGCATTGACAGGTAAAGAAGACTGCTCTGAACTTGATATGGTTTCATTTCTGTTATCAAGGAATTTGAAACATTGTGTGAACTCATCATGCCTGCTGCTTATAACCAGGTCAGGTAGCTTTAACTATGAGGCTAAATTCAGGGGAGCTACTGCTAAGTCCCTGTCTTCCCTCCAACAAGACAAGGGGCTCTCAAACAATGGTTTCTTGTTCAACCATGCGCGCGTTTTGGTTGGTTCTGGTGTTGACACTTATGAAAAGGGCAAGAGAGCTCTTCAGGACTGGAGGTCAGCCCATGTTTAATTCTCTACATGTAAAGAAATTTCAGTTGAGAAGGACAACTTAATCTTATGACTGGTTGTGTGTGGTTTGGCAGGCATTTTGGACTGAATTGGGCATTTGTTGATCCAAAGACGCCGGTTCAAAACGGAGTTAAGTTCTGTGTTTGCGTCAAGGAGTTTCTGCCATGGGTCATGATGCCTCTTCAGGTTGTATATGTGAATGAAAATAGACCTAGTAAACAGTCCATGACCTCTTTTCGTTTCGGAGGTGGTACCCTTCAAGGCCACTTGCTGGTTAGTTTTTCTTCACTTAAATTATATTTATGTGCTTTTGGTTTCAAATGAAATATATGAATCCTCTGATTTGTGGTCTGCAAATTTTGTGCAAAGCAGGCTGGGGAAGAACGATTCTCAATCGAACTGGATGAGAACAACCAAGTGTGGTACGAAATACTTTCCTTCTCAAAACCAGCTCACCCTTTGTCATTTATTGGATACCCATATGTAATGCTCAGGCAAAAGTACTTTGCTCATCAATCTTCTAATGCAATTATGAAACATTTGAATGCTTTGAAATCCTAGTGCATGTATATATGCTAATGGAATTCTGCTTCATTGCCCTTTCTTATCTTCTCTATAAGTTTAATTGTTCTAAACAACTCATAACTACTAACTAGCACCAAAAAACTATGCTATAATATTTGTTTGAAGCAACCACATTAAAATGAGAGTACATGTTTAAATAAAATATCAAAATCTGCAGTAGGTTATGCCTAAACTCACAATCTCCATCCAGCTCCGCATAGATCAGGCCCTTGGCCATGTTGGCGATGGGCAAAGATACTAGCAGAGGCTGGATATGTTAGCAGGACGACACAGCGACTGTCGATGTTGCTCTATCTACCTTTACATGTGGCCTATTACATGAAAAGAGATAGGGAGAAGCAGGCACTGCAAGGTTGACAACTTAATTTCTCTCTCCTTAAAGCTCATAATCGGCGTCCAGCTTTGCATCGATCAAGCTTGGGGAAGTTGGAGATTGCGATGCTTCACAGTCAAGCATTGAAGGATCCAAAAAACCACCTATACTAAACCACATTATATGAAACAATAAATTTTCAATAAAATAAAATAAAATTGAAATTGCAGTAGTGTGTCAAAATTCAAATGACCATCCAACTTAGCATCGATCTAGCCGCCAAGATCTAAGTCTAATTTTCTTTTTCTTTAATTTTCTTGAAAGCCAAGTCCAAATCCAAACCCGACGCCAAATCTTCTTCTTGTTTTTCTTTTCCTTGCTTGACAACCAAGTCCAAGTTGGGGGTGGGCGGAAGATATTATCACAGCTTGGATAATATGTTAGGGGCAAGTGGCTGCCAAAATCTAATCGGAAAACTCCCATCTCACTAAACATTCCTCCAAACTCACCCTCCATATTATTCTGCATATAAAAGAAATTAGAGAAATAAATGCTATTTCCCTTG